CTGTGCCAGCCTCGGCTTCCAGCTCATAGTCCAAAAGTGGAGCTTGAAACCCATAACCGTCTGACGCAGAGGAGGAAGTAATACCAACCAAACCAAACCAGGCTGACACCTGACTTTATAGCCTTACATGATTCCTTTGATGGTGAGAAACCTGCTTTCCAAGCATAAAGTTGGCATTCGCTTCTAAGTAGTGAAAGCCCCAGGATATTACAGATATTAAGAATATCCGTAGTTGAAGAGGTTTTGTCATACTAAGATGAAGTCATACTACAGACACAATGCAATGGTTGTGGTACAGTCAGAGCTGAAGACGATCATTATATTCATCACTCTGAGTCACTCTTGCCTGTGCTCGATTCCAAGTGGAAGAGACCTATTCAGAGCTCTGCTAACCAGTGCCGAATGTCAATGGACTAATCATCTTTCTACACACTCGCTCCGAAAGATCCAGTCCTTGGATTTCTCTCTCTTTCCTCAGCATCCAAAGATTGGGTATGCGGAACAGCTGTGAGGTAGGTCAATAGAGAAACAATTAAGCGGGGAGGGGGGGGCGGGAGGGGAGATGAATAGATAGTAAAAATCCTTGCATTTCATACAGCGCCTTATCACGCCGTCTCGAAGCACTTCGCATGATCCACTGTAATAAAGTGGATTGACTGTGTATTTTGTTAGCAAAAAAAAATGTCAGCCAGTTGCACACAGCAACAGTGTCCCACAAACAGCTGTGGAGTGAGTGACCAATTTTTATTTGGGAGATTGTTAGTTCTGTCCTGCCTTATAATGATTCTGGTGCACGGAAAGTCAACAACTGGATCATAAATCTCACTGACCCTCGAATGTACACTGATCGTCTTCTCCAGCTAGCTCCAGTGATGGTTCCCGTGTGTTGGAGGCAGAAAGTGGGGGATGAGGAGAAACTATAACTAATAGGTAGCATGTTGGCACTGGGCACTAAAAGAATGATCACGTGATGGACCAGGTGGAGAATAGGGCCTCAAGTACATGTTGAAAAGGCAGTTAATGTTTAGAAAAGGGTCTTTTCAGAAACTGTTGCAGACAAATTTTCCTCGCAGGAAATGGAGATCCTCATTCGAAAGGTCAAGTGATGTATTAGGAAGAGGTTCTTTGGGAAAGGCTAAAGTAAACACAAGTTTCGTCAATGCAGCCTCCTTACTCATTAATTTAGGGTGAAACACACAGGAAACCCAATTCTTCTTTCTTAGGATTGTGTTCTCAAAGGGCTTAACAGTTAGCTCAGCAATCCGTTTTGACTTTAATCTCACCTTCAGAATCCTAATTTAATCACGTGGCTGCTACTTGGAGCAGGATTATTGACTTTAACTGATTAAAAAGGACAACTGTTAGATTTGGGAGGGTGGGGTGTGTGTAAAGGAAAAAGTCATTGGCATAAAGGTAATCTGCGCTCGAGACCACTATTTCAATAGATCACCAAAGACCACCATATGCTGATCACTAACAATGGTAAATGGAACATATATGGAGAGGAGATGCTGATTTTCAGAGGAGCTAATTCTGAAACCGGTTCAGCGAGCACTGATTCAACACAAAGGCCAAGACATATGGTTACTTCAAATGTCTTTTAAAATCTTCAGCCTGAAATTTCACTGAGCCTTAGTTCGCTCGGAACTTTTTCTGTCTTAAAATTTAAGATCACACGGACTTAATGGAAATTTTTAATTTTTGGGGTCTTAGCTGGTTTGTTTCTATCAACCTGCAGGAATCCGGACATTCAAGTTAAAACTGAATCTAAGAATATTCCACAAATCTGGGATATACCCAATTGGAATCATAGAATTGTATAGCGTTGAAAGAGGCCATTCGGTCTATCGAGTCTGCACTGACTCTCAGGGCAAGCTGTTCATACAATCCTCCATACCTTTCTGACCTGCTTTCTCCCCACTACATTACCCGCTGCCTCCACTCAGCTGACTCTGGACTCCAGCTTGTCCCTCGTCCCCTCCTCTCCACCAAGCTTTGGAACTCTCTCTCCCCCCCAATCCCTCCACCTTGCCCCATCCTTCCCCTCTTTTAGATCACGACTGAAGATCTTCCTCTTTGACCATGCTGACGGTTACCTCCTTCCTCCACCCGGCTCGGCATCAGGCTCCGCCACTGTTAAGCCCTTGGAGATGCTGCCCCACGTGAAGAGTGCTATATAAATTTAAGTTGTTGTTGTTGTTGCCCCACCTTAACCCCATATTGCTTCAAGCCTCTCTCCTTCATATGCCTGTGTGCTTTCCTCTTGAAACCCACAGTGGACCATGCCTCATCTACTCTCTGAATAGAAACCTTATCTCCCAATCGTAAAGTTAAAACAGTTTCATAGGTGCAATTTTGAGGTGGAATTTCAGAAGGGAATCCACGAAGTTGGATAACGGAGGATTTTGTTTCTTTCTACTAAATTCAGGAAATCTTTTGGGAAATGTGACACCAAAGTTGTAACTTTATGGGACATACTGCAACAAGGAATCTCAGGCCCTGGTTGCAATATTTGAAAAGAAATGGAAAAGATTCCTGATTCAATAGAAAATTATGAGGGATATTGGGCTGTTGCCAAGGTAGGAGGGAAAAGGAAGTGGTCTCAGTGGAGACTGGATATGGAAAAAGACAACAAGATGACTTTGATGGGCTCCATGCATATTTTTCATTCCAATCCCCTTGTGAGTTCTGTGAAGTTTATGCCAGATATCAAGTTGTACAAACAACCTTCCTGCAAACATGCTATTTGTGCCAACTTGGACTCCCAACATTTCGTGTGTGCTCAGGTTTAAGACTATTGTCTTCAACTTTCAAGATTGTGTCGAATTTTTGAGAATAGTCTTAACTTCAACGTTGGTTTGTCAGCTTGGTTCAGTTGGTAGTGCTCTCGCATCTGAGTCAGAAGTTTGCGTGGATTCGAGCCCCATGTCAGGACTTCAAACACACCAGTGCCGTGCTGGGAGCGAGGGGGGCCACATTGTCAGAGACGCCGTCCTTCGGATGACACGTTAAACCGAGGTCCCATCTGTCTGAGAGTGCTCCAGTACCAACTGAGCCAGGCTGACACACAAAACAAATAAGAGTATTTGTAAAAAGAAAAAATGAAGAGTATTTATATTTTGGGCTGCGCTCTGGCTCACGGAGGTAAGGGATGTCCGTCTTGAGGAAACTGAATGCGTTTCCACTTTGGCACCAAATGCCAGTGCCAAACATCCACAGGTCAAATAGAGCACTCGAGACTAAGAATACCTCAGCGCTGCTTGATTTAGAAGCAGTCCCTGCAGTGTTGGAGACCATTCTAACAGAATTGAGCCTGTTTGCACCACAAGAGCGGGGAACAGGAGTAAGGAGGATGGTGGGGTGAGGGGAAGTTGTGGGGGATGTACCACAAAAGGGGCGACTGCAATTCCGTAACATGTGCCTTTGCGTGTGTTCAGCGTGGAAGTTGTAAATCAATTTGTACCTGGCAGAGACTGCGTAATCTTTAGGCAGATTGGAAACCACGTTTTGGCGGCCTGGATTTGTGGACTCAAAAGCACAACAATAATAATCCTTGCATTTGATCTAGCGCCTTTTCACATTGTTGAAGCGTCTCAAAGTGCTTCGCAGAATAGATTGTAAAGTGGATGCAACGTAAAGCTCCATCCAACCAGTCCCAACTTGTGCCTTTACCCTAACCTTAGCAGATACACCCCTTACTGTAACAGCTTCAAAGTTTCCCACTTTCCAGAACAGTTATTCTGGTGGGGTTCCATATTTATGCTAAGCATTGGACAATTTGTTCTGTGGGTCCACACCCACTAAGGAACGAGGTTGAAGCTGCCCGAGTTAATTTCCCTTAGGAGCTCTACAGCGAGCAAAGAGAGGACTCTTTCATCAACTTGAAATTGGACTGAATTCAAAACACAGTGAAATACGTAGCAGTGTGATTAACTCATTGTATCAATCCTGGACTCAGAACGCCACTCAATAAAATATTAGTGCGTGAGATCTTCCTGTGCAGCTAAGATACCTTACACAGTTTGCAAATAATCTGTCATAACATTGATAAATAATCATACATGAGGCTCCCAAATCAGTAGATGATGATTCGGGGCTGTTGTTTTACTATTAAGAAAGACTACACTGAAATGAATAGGTCACTTTTGACCTTAAAACTTTCAGCCACAAACTATACAGACAATTCACTTTACAGAATATTCTGTGGTGGGCTTTGAGATACCTCGATTGCATGATGAGGGGCTCTATCAAATGTAAGGATTATACTTATCGACGTTCTAAAAGGAACACTAGCCGAAACTTCTTTCACTTGCCATTTTTTTCCCCCCCCCGTGCAACTGATATCTTGCCACCACTTTTCACCTTCGTCCAGGCATCCCTTTGCATTGCCTGCCTTGCTCTAAATCACGTCTGAGTGTCTGGAGGTTCTTATGATAAGAAATGACAAACCTTTTCGATTGATTTCAAGAATAGTAAGTAGTAAGAGCCCGACTTACTTGCAACAAACTTTTGCCTATGTTTGAATCATCTTCTGACACCTTCCATCTGCCCCTCAACCTTTTTGAACTATCTCTCCTGCCTTGCCACTCACGAGTACAAGTTTACTACTCTCACTTTCAAACGAGCTGGAATCAAAGCATCAGTCCTTCTAATGTTAAGAGTTTAAGGTTCTAAACTTACAGGGCAAGAGTTAACAGGTATGCACTCAAGTGGTTTTGACTGCACTACTCATATCCCACGGAAAGAGAACTGACACAGAATAGAAGGGAAAATGTGTTTCATGGTGACTGTATTTTACAAAGGGAACCATTATTATCCAATGTTACTCTATTTGTTTTACTGTTTCCTGATGGTATTACAGCTATCCCAGTCATTTCAAACGCATCCAATTTGTTCCCCTGTTCAGAGCAATGCAGGGAAAAGAACCAAGTTTTCCTGAATGCATTTGTCACTGGAGGCAGTGGGGAGAATGGGAGGGAGGGGAGGAGGGGTGGGCGGCGGTGGGTGGAGGGAAAGCTTGTGGTTCAGTATAAATCATTGAATCTCGACTGAGACCACACACACCATACTATAAGCAGCCCACGTGTAAACCAAGGCACCAATTTCAGAGTAAGCAGCATTTTCAGAACCAGCAAGAACCTATAAGCAAGAATTGCAGGCAGAACTTCCTGATGTTTGGCATGGAGAGCTGCGGAAAAAGTTCAAGAAGACAGCAATCTTCTTCGGTGCTGTGTGCACTGCTTTTAATACGTAAGTAAAATCATCATCGTATGGGGAAAGACCTATTTTGTTAGGCAGAAATGTTTTGAGAGCTTAAAAAAAAATGTCTAAAGATCACCGGGAATGCGCTTGTGTCTCAATATTTACGAATGTTTAGTTTGTGGTTCTTGCGTTAATAGTTCATTCGTAACATTAACTATCGATGCAGATGCAATCAGAATTGCTATTTTAACTTTTAAAAAATGATGAGTTGCCTCCAGCCAGATGTGTAAAAACTGACTTGGTTATTTTGTTAAAGTACAAGAATTCGATAGGTGGGGATTGTCAGTCTCATTAGGGGGAAAATATAATTGGTTATCGTTGATCATTTTAATCTGAACACGTTAGGGAACAAAATAGGGATTTTTTTTTTCAGACAACGCTTTTCTCTTTTAAACATTTCATTTTGAAATAGTGTAAAATATCCTGTCCGTTGCGTACACTTTGAAAGGGTGTCATTTGCTGACAAATGACTTCTTAGCAAGAAAAATTCCAAACGTATCCTAAAGCCAACAAAATATATGTATATAGATACATGTATGAACTAAGAGACTAATAACTGCTACAGACAAGTGTAATTCAGGTAATAGTTGAGCATATTATTGATCACATTGTCTTAATCCATTTGCTCTGAAATGTTTGTAATTACAACAGCAAAATTACCTTTGTAAAGCGCCTTTCACGTCGGGAGGATGTCCCAAGGCGCTGGAATTATTTGCAAAAGTCCAGGTACATTGTTGCATTAAAAGTAACAGCATTGAGAATTCTCTGAAACGTAATGGAGGAAAGAAAGAGATTTGAAGTAACTTAGTGAGAAATAACAATAGTAATTATAACAACAATAATAATAATAATCCTTGCATTTGGCCCAGCGTCTTCCACGTCCAATGCTTCACAACTTTTACCAGAAACTATAGTGACTGTGTGTTTTGCAGGCATGTAAAGTTGGATGATTTCACTTTGATTTCCCCATTGGTGACAATAACTACATGGCAATGAATGAATGAATGAACGAATGAATGAATGAATGAACGAATGGACGAAGGAATGAATGAACGAAAATAAAGACTTCACTGCAGCGAGACATTTGGTCATTTATCTTAGGAATGAGTTAAACCCTGGAATTGTGCGTTAGTCCCGATTCCACCGTGAAAGAACATCCAAGAGACGGCAAAATTCTCAACGGTGGCTGTTGACTGGGCTAGAACTAAGCCCGCGTGAGAGAGGGATATGATCTAATAGGTCAGGAACTCTTAGTAAATCTGTTTTTGCTTATAGTGCTTAAGTTCTCCCTCTGCCAGAACAGTCACGTAGTTAAGTCAAACTACTCACACTCATCCACCTTTTCATTCATTGTTCCCTTATTGCTAGCGGATGGCCATAAAGCACAGTTCCCTTGGAGCAATAATATAGCAGCTGTTGTCTGCATCATATTGTTAATGTAACTGTTAACGGAAATGATTTACCGTGTCGGAATCCGGGTGGGGAGGGAGGTGGGATTGGTGGCGGGGTGATGCTTAATCCAGCTGATTGCCTCAGTGGAGTACAATGGGGCCAGTGCTGCTCATATTCCTGTTGCAGAGTGCTTTGCAAAAGGAACATCGTTAGGACCATTCACATCGCATCTGTGAGAGAAGTACTGGAAGGACTTTCTGGAGAAATGGGGTCACTGGTTCTCAAATCCGTTGCAGGTGGAAGGAAGTTGGCTGAGGCACTGGAGTGCGAACTGCACTACATGATAAATTAACAAGACATACCACAGTTTTTCACCCCACTGTTTTATTTCACCGCAGTACAGTAGTCGGTCACACAGCAAAACTAGGCTCAATGTTCCTTGTCTCTGTTTGTCCTCCTGCCTCGTTTAAAAAAAAAAGGCTTGTTTGCACCACTGACTCATGAACAGCTTGAACGAGTTGAGTTCTGTTTCCCCGAAACTCTCATCGATGACCACGATTTTTTCGATTGAATTTCTCTTAATCGTCCGGAAAGCAACGGTGGTTAAAGACATCAAAGGAGAGGCTGAAAGGATCCGCGCTGACGAATGGTGATGGAAAAGGTTACCGAGCAAGGTTGCCCGTTCTTATTGTAACCATATGGGCGAGCGATGCTGAAGTAATTTGGGGCAGTTTGTCTGAGCACAGAGTTAGAGAGAAAGCAGCCGTACCTTTATCAAAACCAAATTGTAGTCCCTGGGAGAGTCGATTCAGAAGAATTTAGTCTGTCCAGCTGATCTCCAGCTAATAATAATAACATGGTCACTCAAGCTATGGCTGTTCGTGGGACACTGTTGTGTGCCAATGGCTGCTGCGTTTTGCCCATAAAATATAGTCAATTCCTTACTCTACGGTATGTTCTGTGAAGCGCTTAGAGATGTCTCGAAGACACGATAAGGCGCTATATCAAATGCAAAGGCTGTTGTGATTAATATTATCTCTCCTTTAAAATCAAACTTTTTGGGGGTCTTCGGTGCTGCATGATTGCTTGAGTGCACATCGAACAAGGATCATCCAGCTTAGTTTTCCTTTACGACAAAGGACTGCGGTGAAATAAAACAGTGGGGTGAGAAAATTCATCACATACTGCAACTCGCAATCACTCCGTTAATTTATTGTTCTTTTGCTTTATTTTTCATCTGTTTCCACCATTCTCTGCCCCACCCTCTCCCTCCATCCTAACCCCTCCAGACACTCCTCCATAACCACAGCCACAAATCATAGGTGAAGCAGACAACAGCAACAAGAATAACTTGCATTTGTGTAGTGCTTCTCACACAGGGAAGCGTCCCAGAGCTCCTTGACAGTCAGAGCACTTGAAGGGGGAGCATGTGGGGAGTGAGCAGGAGAGGGTCATCAGACCAGGTGATTGATTTGAAGAAAAACACCAGCGTGGACCTGATGGGCCGAATGGCCTGTTTAGCACTCAACCATTCAATTCCTCGCTCACTCTCTCTGTCTCTCTCTGCCTCTGCCGGAATGTGCTGGGCGAAGACTGGATTGGGACGGGGCTCCTACAACCCTAAATTTGGGGTCATATTTATGTTCCTCGGTGATCGCAGGGGGACGGAATGTGTTTAGGAACGTCATAATTGCCATAATCGCTTTGTTTGAAATTCAAAACATCAAATTAAGTGAAGTAAGCTCACCAAGTGTTTCCCTAGGAACACTCACATTCCTGGCAGATGAGTGGGTTTCACTTGAATGCAGCTGCTGATCCAAGTGAATCTTATCTTTGCCTGTGTAGTTTTGAGTTACCTTCGCGAAAAAATAATAATAAATTGGTCTCTCAATCAATCCACGACTGTTTGCAGGACGCTGCTGTGCGCAATTGGCTGGCGTGCTTCCCCCCACAAAATATACAGTGAATTCACTTTACAGTGTATTCTGTGAAGCGCTTTGAGACGTCTCGAAGAGGCGATAAGGCGCTATATATTAAACGCGAGGATTATTATCACTATAACATGAGCTGTCATCCTTCCGCTCATGCAATGTGCTCGTGACACGTTTTTCTCGTGTTGCACTATCAATCTGCGCTTGAGTTTCCTTTCCACATACAAGCTGGCGTTGGGGTGGGGGCGGGGGGAGGGTGACATGCGTGCGTGTCCACCTCCAGAGCTCCAAAATTCCACCCAGTCTTAGCCCTTAAGACCACTTTGGCTTCCAATTTGAGATTGCTCAAAATCGTGGAAGAATTCTGTTTGAAATTTAGAATTATGTTCCAATTTCAGACTAGATTTGAGACTAACAATTCTGTAACGTTACATCTCGCGGCAAAGTGATCTTACAGACTAAGACTAGGTGGAATTTCAAGTGTTCTGCCCTAACGGTTGTTGCTGACTTGACACTTTGCCAGTGTATCTTCAGATCTTGCTCAGTGTTTCTCCACTCGGCTGCTTCTCGCACTGGGGTGAGGCAACTGTGTGAAGTCATCCTTCAAGGATATAACCTCACCAACACAACTTCCATCACCCTGTCTCTTCCTCTCCCCACCCACCCCACCCCCACCCCCAACAGTCCGAGTTTGTTCACTCAACTACGCCCCCACCACCCCTCTCCACAGACAGTTCCACAGGCACAGACGCTCCAACATCAACCTAAGGTTCCACACCCATTTCCTGGTGCGAACTTTGTGCAGCGTTGCGATATTCTCTTAGACCAAGTTGCCGCCCTTGGATTTCTGTCAGTCAGACAGATCCAGACAACAGATATTCTGGACAGCTGTGCGTTTGGGTCACTGGTACATATTTGGAACAATATAAAACGATCGCAGCCCAAAATTATTTTCATTGTGAATCGGGCACAGACTCCTGCATTGAAAAGTTGGCTTGGGAAAATTAAGCAGTGATGTACAAACTGATAGACTGAATTAAGAGGGCGATCAGGGAGGGGTGCAGTGGTTCAGCAAACCAGGGGTTTGATTTTAGCTCAAACTAGTTGTGTTAAAGTCTCTTTCTGCCACAATAAATATTCCGCTTCAACAAGTCCAGGAAGTCTTGAAGTGCTTATAGTAGGGGCTGAGTCTATTTCACAAAAAATGCTTATAATTTTCACAAATTAGCATTTTATTAATGATTTCGATCCGAAATACCGGAGCAAATTGGTGGTGATGAAGCAGTGGCTTTTTTTTCTCTGAGGTTGGGATAAATTGCCCTTTGCTGTGAATTTCCCCATTGTTGGGGATTAATTGCCCTCTTCTCTGCCCCACTGTTGGGTGGGAGCTGTGGGAGCGTCTGGTTCTGTTGTCCGACTCAGCAAAGTGTTAAATATGTTTAACACTTTAAATATGTTTGACACTGTTTCACCTGAAAACTTGCAGTATGATCAGAATCATTTTTTTTCCCCGCAGTTCTTAAAATGAAACCGTTTTTTCTAAATTAAGGCTGGAAATTTGAATTTTTACACTTCTGCTCTCTCAAATTGAAAGTCAATAAAGTGGCCTTAATATTATTAATAAAATACCAATGACTGGGTGGAATTTGGGCCATTGGTATTTTA